CACGTAGGCCAAAAAGGGATAGAAAATTATTTATAAAATAAGTTCGGGAAGGTAATAGGACCTTAGTATTGTATAAGTGTGTCTCTGTGATTTCGGGCATAGATTGAGGGAGGGGGGCTACTTAGCATTTTCCCTATAAAATATCATATCACCATTATCATCATCATATTATCTATCTACCAATCTATATTACTTAAAAACACAAAGACCCTTAGAAATGTTGATTGTATTTTTTTTATCACATTAAAATCTTTATAATGAATAAAATTATCATTTACTATTTTAACAACTAATATTTTAATATTTAGAATTTTGAAATTAATAGCTAGAATATGTGTATTCTCATTAAATAAGTAGTAGGGGGCTTTCATATGAAATAAGTAGTAGGAGGATTTCATAACTAAGAGCCTGGTTTGACATTACTGTTGGAAGCCGCCGAAAAGCACTTATTTTGAGAAAAAATACATTTTTTGAACAATTAGGTGTTTGGGAAAAACCTGTAGAACCGCTTTAAAATGGAAGCAGAAACAATTTTTCTGTTGTTGGAAAAAAGCTAACAATATCAGCTTCTTAAAAAAAGCGGAAGTAGAAACAGAAAATTATTCTTTTCAAGACTAAAATACCCTAGATATATCTCTTATTAATAAATTAACATATCTCATATGTTTGGTTAATTTCATTTAATAATTTTATTTTTATTTTTATATATAAATTTATATTTTATTTTACGTTTAAGTATTTTTATTTTACATATTATTTTGCTGAATTGGAAAAAAAGGTAACAACAATATTTTTGTAAGACTAGAGAAAAGAAAAAAAATAACAATTAAAGATTTCAACCCTTAAAAAAATATGTGTAATATTGATTGACAATTTGAAAATGAATATTTTACTTTAATAAAAATAAAAATTTAATTTACTTTTTTGTAATAAATGTTTAAACTAGTTTCTCTCTATCAAATAATTTTAACATTAAGGGTGTGTTTGATATGAAGGAAAATATTTTTCCTAGAAAATGTTTTCATTGAAAACAAGTAGATTTTTGACTTGTTTTCTCATGTTTGGTTGGTGAATAGAAAATATTTTCCGGAAAAGATTTTTAGTGTTTGATTTATGAATGAAAAATGTTTTTGAGAAATATCTTTTATTTTTACTAGAGTAGAAAATATTTTTTGAAATTGAAAATATTTTTAAAAATAAACTTAAATTTCTTTTTGGGGGTTTGGGGTGGGAGGGTTGGTAGGGCTGGTAGGGGGGAAGGAGGTCGAGGTAGGGGTGAAAAAATAAAAATTTGA